CAAGTTGCTCTTCCCGATTACCAATTTTTCCGTGCTCATTACTCTCAGTGGAGATGATAACGCTGGAGATGTATTTATGTGCTACATGTATCTTCCTAATGAATAGTGTTTCAGAAGTCCCCCTTGGGACAAACAATTTTGGGAACTAGAATGGTTTCAGGAAACACTCACCTGACTGAAAGTGTTACAAGAAAAAGGTACGCGGGTGTCTTTAAACCTCCTGCCCCATGTCGATTATAAACAAGTAGCATACAAGAGTTGGAATGTCCTCGCAGCTTCAGCAAGGAGTTGATAATGCGCCAGATTATTTGTAGATGATTAGCAATTTACAGGTAGACACGAGTTGTTTTGTGCTAGGGTTGGTCTTCTGAGCAAATATCAGAAGAAACACAGGCAACTTCTAATTTCGGATGGCTTGTTGTCTCGCCTCTTTGGGTGGCTGAAACTTTTGGTAATCAAAGCATTGTTACAGAATCTTGCTCTCTAGTCAGTATTAAGAGACTTGACAGCTATTGTTGCAGTAATGAAAAAGTTTGAACCATATGTATTCATGGATTTGCACATATAGACCCCATACCTGTTGCCTTTATATATACTAGATTGTTGTCGAAGTTGTCTATACAAGATTTGTTGTTTAATAATTGCAATGTCCACTTTCTTTATGTTTAATGCCAATAATTAGATTCCTAGTCAGAGGATTAATTTCAGCTTTGATTCTTTTAATTGACCATTGATGCAATGATAAATTCACACATTCATGAATGAATTGGTTATGATTGTTGATAAATTCTAAACAACTAGCTTTTCCTTGCTTTCTTGACAATTAAAATACAACCATTAGTTACTTCTCTAATTAAAAGATAACCCTAAATACAGTCATAGGATTTAAGCCTTTAACATCGCTGAGAATTAGAAAAACTCAATTTTAACTAACTAATATACATATTCGGTTTATTTAAATTAGATTATATATTCCTGTGACATATTCGAAAATCCCTAATGCAATTAAATTACATCACTTGTCACAAATACTAAAACAATCAAACAATTACGGATTTGATGTTTCAAATGGCAATAGATCATTCTGACAATCAAATAGTGATAAGTTATTTAATTATACTCTCTCCGTCCCACTTTGATAGTTCTGTTTTTTTTTTCACACAGTTTAAGAAAAAGTAGTTAACTTTGTTGGAAAAATAAATTTAGATTGCTATTTTTTTAAAATACCCTCATATTAAATATGATACAACTTTATGGGAACTTGAATTGATGGTAAAAAAAAGAATCAACTCTCATTAAATGTGGTAGGTTTATAGTAACAACTACTTACATTGAATAAGGATATTTTAGGAAAATTGAAATACAACTACATTCTTCAATTGGAAAGTGAACTACAATTTGGGACAGATGAAAAATGAACAGAGGACTATCAAAGTGAGACGGAGGGAGTACAAGAAAAAAAATCTCGAGAATGAACAAATAATATGTAATACTCATGAACTAATAAAACAATAAAACTAAATTAGATCACACAGTTATTATAGAATCAAAAGTTTTGATTATTCTTCAACTGAAGAAGAAAGTAGCAAGAGAAAAGTGCGGAAGAAGTAAGATTATGAGAGAGAAAGAAAGAGGGATAGAGCAATGTTTTGAAAATCGAACCGGACCGGCCGGTTCGACCGGTTGAACCGCGAACCGGCCATGGTACCGGTCCGGTTCAATGCCATAGTTGACTTTGTCAGAAAACCGGTCAAGAACCGGTCGAACCGCTATTGAACCGGTTTTCAACCTTCTTTTTTTTTTTTTTTTTTTACAAAATGCAGCTATCAAGATTCGAACTCAAGACCTTTGTAATAGAAGACCAATGTATTAACCGTTTTACCATCACATCCTAGTAGTTTTTTTTGATAACTTATTTATATAAAGCAAACACTCATATTTATTTTTTCCATTTTTCTTACAAAATATCATTTTCTCATGGCTCTTTCTTTTTAATTTTCAACTCTCTCTCTCTCTCTCTCCTCTTTTTTTTTGTCACTCCCTTTTTAATCAAACCTCTTTATTTTTAATTTACTGATATTTTCTTCCATCTTTTAATTTTGTTTTTGTCCATTAAATTGAAAAAAGTTCAAAAAGAATTATTTTTTAACCCAAATTATTTAATGCTACAACCACTCACTTTTATTTCATTTTTTGTTTCTTATCAAGTTTACATTTCTATTTTCGATTTTCTTGACTTCCTTCGAACTCCAAACTTTCTTTTTTAAATTGCAATCTCTAAAACGTAAATTAAAATTTAAGTTCACAATATCTAAATTCTCATAGACGTGAATTTTGTATAATTTCAAAATATTGTGATTTTTTTGGGTTGGATTTAGATATAATTGAAATTGAGATGAAATTTATTTGTTTTAACTTATAATTTAAAAAATTTATTTTTAAAAAATTCAAGTTATTAAAAAATAGTAAATCTTTCATCATATAAAGTATTAAATTAATCCATTACATGTCTTATTTTGTACATATATATATTTATATAAATAATTTTTAAAAAAATTTATTGAACCGAAGTTGAACCGGCCCAACCGATTAAATCTCGACCTTTTCACTTCACCGGTTCAATGAACGGTCCGATTTTTAAAACATTGGGATAGAGCTGTGGCAAAAACCACGTCCCTCCAAGGCTCTAATCTCCTTTTATACAGAAATTGTTTTTCCTTTTACTTTTAGAATCCTTCCTAAACAAAATCCATTCTAAAAAGGAATTAAAGTAGTAAATATTCCATGGCTAATTGGTAGCGACATTACTAAGGACATAAGAGTTCATTCCCAATCAACTACAGTAAGAGGCGGTCAATAAAAATTCCTTTTCCCGACAGTTAAATCGTCTTTGCCAATTCCCATAATTTCGGACTTCGCAAGTAGGCAAAGTTGCAAACGCGCCCACAATGATTAATGAAGGTTGGTGACAGTATTTATAGGGGAGAGACAATACACAATGATTAATGAATGGATCAGTGGCCCTGAGATTCTAACACTACAAGTGGAGCAAGGCGCGTCCCAATCAATTTTTCATTTTAGCACGCACAGAGAACAAGAAAGCCCTCCTCGAGCCCAGCTCTCCCAGGCACAGTGTGTTTAAACACAATGGAGCCCATTGAACAGGACTGTCAAAGTGGACTTCAGGAGCATCAGGAGAGGCCCGTCCATTCATAATGGGCCGCAACCGGATGATGATGAAGGATTTGACACGGTCCCTGTTAGTGGGTATAGTCACTATAGTGTTCCCGGGCAAGGACTAGGACATCCATAAAAAAATAATGAAAATTGCATAAATCATCCCTCACATGTTAGCGATGTGAAAATTTAGTCCCTGAAAACGAAAACGAGCATTTTTAGTCTGTTAAAAACAAAAAATGATCAATTTTAGTCCTTGTTAGCTTTTTCGTGTGAATTCTTGATAGACCCAGTCATGAAAACATCAAGTGACCAACTTTTGAGGAACAAAAAGGGCAAATCACTCATTTTTTTTTTTTAAACAAAAAATTGAAAGACCGGATAAAAATTGGAAAAAAACCCCAGAAATCAAATAAAAAAAGAAAAGAAAACTACGAAGAAACTATACAAACCAAAAACCCGATAAAAAAAATATCGCTACTCTGGAAAATGATAAAGGATAAACAAAATAAAATAAAAATCATCAACCGAGTCCAAATTTTTGAATAAATGTTGCCTCTCTTGTCTAATGTGCCGTCAAAAATCAATGTTGAATTTGGTTGAAAATTGGATATTTGCCTTTTCCATTTGCTTTCCCTCTTTCTTCAGATTTTGTATAAGTGATTCTGAATGAAGGTTGTGATAAAGATGATAATTGATGAAGAAGCACGCCAAAGATTATTTAGTGAATGATGTATGTGTCAACACTAATGCCAGCAGCATTAGAACGTAGGCTATCCCCTGATCTATCACAGTACCGTCGCTGTTGGTGGGAGCAGCAGCAGGGGCATAAGCCATGGCAGTGGCAGTGGGGAAAGCAGTGGCTAAAACGAGGCAAATGACAGCCACCAATGCAATTGAAGCCCTTGACACCACCTCCATTGTTAGGTAGGTTAGTTTTTGTCTCCGAAAGAATATCGGTTTCCGTTCCTCTGCGATGCGAACAGAAGAATATTGGATTTCTTACACCCGTTCATCTCCGAACAGCGGCTGCGCCTTTGGTTGTGGGAGGAGGAGGAGGAGCCACAGCAGCAGGGTATGGGGGCAAGTCACTCATCTTAACCAAACTCTAAACTTATGGGATTTTTTCTTTGCTGATTTTTGTTGCCACCCCAAATTGCTTCGATTCAAGGGCTCAAAGTCTTAGACTTCGGCAATAATCAGTTGTTCGGCGAGTTACCAAGCCAACTGGGAGAGTTGAATCGTCTTGAAATCCTCACCCTTGGTCCCAACCTCTTCATTAGTGTCAGTTCGCCGGAGCTTTGAAACTTGGCCTTCCAAGTAAGTTTGGTGGTTCTCCTATGACAACTTCAAAGAAATTTAGGGATTTGAAGTGTTTTGAAAGAAGAAAGATACCTGTCCTCTACATTTTGGTCAAGATCTGAGTGATTTGCCTTTTTTATCTCTCAAAAGTTGGTCACGTGGTGTTCCCATGACTGAATCCGTCAAGAATTCACATAAAAAAGCTAACCTCTTTGCCTTTTTTATCCCTCAAAAGTTGGTCACGTGATGTTCCCATAACAGGATCTGTCAAGAATTCACACGAAAAAACTAACAGAAACCAAAATTGATCATTTCTTGCTTGTAATAGACTAAAAATGCTCGTTTTCGTTTTCAAGAACTAAATTTTCACGTCGCTAATATGTGAGGGACGATTTGTGCAATTTTCCCAAAAAAAAAATTTACCCTTCCTCTTCCAATTGTGGAGCAATCTATATAATACCCCTTTCCCCCACCCACCCAAAAAAGGTTAAAAAATCAAGGCATTCTCAATTGTAAAACTGATTATCTGAAGAATATAGTGTTATAGATAAGTGAATCTGACAGTAAAGACATAAGCCTGCTTTCTGGGAATTCCATGTAGACACATGAATTTACATTCATAAGTATCAGCTAACTACAAGGACGGACAACAATGTGCTACTAGGGACACCTTGAACTAAAAGAATTTGATCATCCAAGCTGCTCATATTACAAAATGACCGCTCACAACTCGACTAAAGTGTAACAGCACCTAGGACTCTTGACTGTTGCTCAACAACAGCGCTATCTAAAGAAGAGAAAGGCAAGGCCAGCTAGCCATAGCTCAAACAGATGGTGTTTGACTTATGACATGCATCAGCAGCTTCCTAATTCAAGCCTAATTATTTTTGTTATATCCATCATGACGTCAAAAAGATGCAGCTTCAGTCACAGGCTTCTACGTTAACACTCGAGAAATGACAACCAGACATCCAATTCTCCTGCTCAGAGTTGGTCGCCCAAAATGGTGGAAACCAATAAGTCACGTATAAATTCACATCTCTGAGCCTTCTCTTCATCCTTGTCAGGAAGAGCAGACAAGTTGACATTTCCGCTGCCACAAATTTGATAAAACAACGCCAATCATCAAAACTGTTTTAATAAGCAATGATATGTAGAAACACCGAGTACTTACCAGAAGAGAACTGGAACTTAGCTATTCTGAAGATTAACAAGCAGTCATACATGAAACTACTTATATCTCAAGCATGCTGTTTTTATCAATCATCTGGTGAGCTAGCCCTCTACAGTTATGCATCCATAGTGTTCACCAAAAAGTAAAAGAAAAATAAGAACGAAAGAAGGAAACAGCTTGAATTCACATCCTAACAATTTTCTGGCCTTGTGCTGAATTGCTTCTGATTCTTGAAAGCAGAATTAGAACCCAGAAGTAGCTTTTCTGCTGCTTATGATTATCAGATCTTTGGCATCTAGAAAACCTAAAAGCAGGTTTTGAAAAGCAATTGAAAATAAAAAATGTATTTAACTTTTTCAAAATCAAAAGATAAAATCAGTTGTTCAAAAAAATTGAAGCAGTGAACCCCTATCGTCCGAATGAAAGAGATGACATTGCACAGTACAAGTGTGTTTGGATTACATATTATTTCCACTTGCACACTGACGTGCTTGTATCATCAACACATTTTTCAATCACCTTTTTATCTCACATACATCACATCAAATAGGTGCTACAGTATTTTTCACAAATTTATCTCAAATAATTTACTCTCCAAACACTATACCCTGAAAAGTTTCAAGTCTACACCATCTTACCCCCAATATGTACCAGCCATATAGTATCTGAATACCCTTTATACAAGTTATTCTATCCATAAAAAATTTCTCATGATATTTTCAGCACTTTGTATCAGGATCCTGCAAATTTGTTTCCGCTCCATCATTGCCCATTTAGTTCACAAGAAGCTAAAAGTACAGACACACGGGCAACACCCGTTTCTATAAGCAGATTCATCCTTATTGCTTTCATTTTTCAGCTTGCTGGATATGACTGTCAATAAAAAGTGAAATATTACCAAGTTACACCTGAAAACCTTCAATAAATAGTCAATGTTGTCAGGCCATCTTTATTTCCAAAACCTCATCAATATGCCTTTGAAAGAAGATATAGATTATCTTGATAAATAATGATCTAAAAACTCAATCCCAATGTTACAGTTCAAGAGAGATGAAAGCATAGGCTGTACAAGTCAACCAACCAGGTCCGAAGCAGAACCAATTAGAATAGATAAAATGAGGTAACGGATTTGAAAACCGAACAAAAAAACAATCTGGTCATACCTTTCTAAGTTACTATCAGGTGAATCGCTCCCTAATGAGCTTCCTTCAATCAGAGGTCTAACTATTTCAGGTTGAGGATTGTAGAGAAACGGTAAAAGGAGAGAATCAGATTCTACAGCAGAAGAAGAACTGACGCGAGAACCCTTAGGAGGTGAGTGCAAATGTTCATCCCATAACTCCTTTTTCAAGGAAGAAAGGGCTGGATGAGATCCACCATTGCAGAATTTCTTTTTGCAAAGAATGTAAGACCAAGTCAAGGTGCACAAAAATTTAAACCACTAAAACATTATCGCCACAGAAAAATTCTTCACAACCTGCAAAAAGAAAAATCCAGCTAAACATTCACGCGAAAAACATTCACATGTACAATATGATTATCATGAAAAATATGAAAATTAGATCCTCTAAATTAGGATGACTGGGGAATTCTAAAAAAACGAAATTGCTGCAAGATAAATAAGGGAAACACTATAACCAACAGTAAGAAGAAGAAACTGTAAAGGATATCTTCAAGATAGTCTCGTGCTGAGTAATTAGATGTACAGCCATGTTCGCGTCCACCTTTGAAACACAAACTGGACAAATCTGTAAAAACAAAGTAACTCCATCAAAAGCATGATTAAAATCAGAATGCAAAGCAATACAAAGTGCATGCCAGTACATATGCCTGGATACACAAAAGACTTCAGATGCAACCTAACTGGTTTGAGAGCAAAAAAGCAGGCCATAAGGATTATGGACCTATCATCTATCTGAATCCTTTGCGTTGAAAAAGAAAATTTACCTGAAATTCCAGCATTCTTAACCCCAAATTCCCTACGCCAAACACCAGCACACCTCCCCCCCCCCAACCAAACCCAACAAAAAAAAAAAGCTCAACACAAGCAGTATAGCAGGATTTGGAGCCCAATACAGAATAAACCCAACCAAAGACCCTGTTTGATCACGTCACCAATGAGATTAACAACAACCTTCACTTGTAAAAACAAAGATAAATCATCGAACTTGGAACGAGCAGATTACAAAAAAAATTTGAAACTTTTGAAAGATAGTAATGACAAAAGACTACAGAAGAGTCTTCCACAGTTTAGATTCCCAATTTTTAGTCTCTAGCAATGAAATTCAGTAGGTCAAACAAATAAATTCCCCTAAACTGAAATGTCTTTAAGCTGTGCGCTGGCGAGAACTTAACAACATTGTTACAATACTTTTTTCTACCCAAAAAATAAATTTAAAAAAATTGCAGAAAGGAAAGAGTGGAATTACTTGAGCTCTGGCCTCCTTGTGATGGACGACATCAACATGACAGTATAATTCTAGGACGTCAAAATCCTCGGAACAAAAGGGGCATGCCAATCCCAACTTTTCATCAGAGCCGGTGTCGTCATCATCGACGTCGTCATCGTACTCTTCAGCATCCTCCTCCTCTTCAACATCAATATAACTGTCTGCTCCAACATTAATGACCTCTAAAATAAAAAATCAATCAACTCAAACCCCCCTCCCCTACCCCTAAAAAAAAAAAAAACAATAATAATAAAGAAAGAGAGAAAGAAAAGTTTAAAATAAATGAACTAATAATACTGACCAGGAGGAGGCAGACAAGCAGCAGTGCCCTTTTTTGAAGAAGAGGGGGAGGTGGAAATCCGAATTTCCCAATCCTGGTCGTGATCGGCCATCTAAGTTTTTGAGGAGGGTGCAAAAAATAGGGGGGCTTTTTGTTATTGTGATTATTAGTATGTACTATAGTCGGCGGGTACCCGGATTACTGGTGAGGAGGGGGAGGAGGATGGGGCATCTCTCGGCTGGGCAGCCCGCCAAAGTCTCAATATGACGGGCTACCGGAAGAAAAATACACTCTATCCTAATGCTGCTGCTGCGACTGCTAGTCTACTACTGCCCTCCTTTGCCTTTTCAACAGAGACAGAGAGGAGGAACGGAGTGAGAATGGCGGAGAGCGAAGCCGAGGTCATTACAAGGGATGCACGCACACACGATACAGGAGAATAACTTGGACTTTTCGTCGGGTGGTGGATCCGGGTCGTTTACCACACGGATTCTTGGCAGACACGGGTCCAATTACAAAATTGGAGTTGATGGAGTCGCGTGTCATGGGCTCACACCATGGCTTCCCGCGTTTCATATTTATTAATCTTCTACTTGCTCATTCTTATCGTTATTTTTTCAAAAATAAGTTTTTCGAATATAATGTCACAGTAATATATAATAATTCTAAAAATATTTTATTTATATAATATATTAAAATTTTTTATATACATTATTACAATAAGATTTTTCAAAAATATCTCTATAAATAGTTAATTCAAACGGAGTTGCTAAAGCAATCCTTGAAAAAAGTACCTGTGATTCTCGATGTACATAAACATGGGTTTGGTATTTTTTTTTTTTTTAAAAACTATTATTTATTATTTTAAAAATACCCTCTCAACATTTGTCATGAATGACTATCTACATTATATTTAAAATAAACTTTATGCTCCTATGTAATTATCACTGTACAAGTGTATAACCATCATCATTACACTACACTCCGCAATTAACTAATCCAATAATAATGCACATTGGATCACCTTTCAAAAATCTCTCAAACACACCATCCAAACGGAATCATTTCCTCCTAAGCTAATTTACGAGATCTTCTATATTGTTTGATTTCAGCAATTGGGGCGATGGACAATTTGGAAGTAAATTCTCATTTTGAACCATCCGCATCGTCAGCTGATATTTCCGCATAATTTGGAAGAGCGTAGAATTAGGGTATATAAATATTCAATTAACTTGTTTCCAATTGTAAATATCACTTTCCCTAGATTGTTTCCTCATTATCGCTGGTTCAATTTGTATCAGTACGTGGCTGGATGGTATTTCTCTTTCTTATTTAGTAGCATTGCATGAGTAAGTGAAGTTAACTAAGTCGTTCCCCAACTTATATTTAAAAAAAAAAAAAAGGTTGGTTGTTCCCAAGTGTCTTTGGATATGAGATTTTAGTTTGAATGGAGTTCAAAATACCAAATTAATTCTCCGTGCCAAAAGTTAATGAATTAACATAAAAAAGTGTTAAATCTGAATTTTTTTAGATATTCAGATGTTTGGAATGTTTGATAAATGAAAATTTATTTGCTGAAATTATTAAGTAGTGCTGAGTTTGTGTTTTTTTTTTTAGCACAATAATCCTAACTGAATGTTTAATTCTGATAAGAATCAATAGAATCACTTCAACTACCTTATCTTATCTACCAAATCTACTCTTGCTTGTTAATTATGTTCAAAATTCTTATATAATTAAACAATCTAATATTCTCCATCTAATGATTTTCTATTTTTCTTTTCTCCCTTTTTAATGACTTTTATATCTTCTCCATACTTCTCATATAATATATTTCATATTTTATATTAATTTGATTTAAAAATAAATATTATCAATTTCATAGGTTTTATTTTTTTTGGATGAAAAGATATAAGGGTAAAATTGTCAAATTTAACTGATTAAGCATTCAGTTATAAATGTTTATCAAACAGTATAAATAGATTTAGCATTAAAATGTAGATATTCATATATTTTTTTCGGTGCTTAAAATTCAGCAAATCAATTATTTCAGTATTCAGATTTCAAAATTCACACTTCAGAATTCAGATTCAATTTTATCAAACGAAAAGGTTATATTATTCGTCTTTATAACAAGAGAATGTTCTATACATACATATTAGACAAACCAAGACGGTGACACAATTTGTTATGTTCAACTCTTTCACAGATTTGAAGGGATTGATCCAAACGGTCGGTATGCAAACCTAAATACAGTGTGTGTGTGTGTGTGTGTTTTTTTTTTTTTTTAAAAAAAATTTTAATTTGAGTATGTGGGTTCTTGAGTATTGCACAGCCCAATGTAGATAGGAACAGACTGCGATGGATGGTTTGGGAGAGGAGAAATGAAAATGCTCCTGAAGAGGAAACCGAAGGTGCCAAAGAATCAAGAGGAGGTAGAAACAGTTTCTAACCTACTTTCGGCGATGGAAATGATGATGGTGAAGCAAGGACTCGCTTGAGAACTGTCTGTTTTCCTGGTCGAGTCTAATGCAATAGCTGAACTTGGGGAAAGGCTGCTTCAAGAATTGCGACGAAAGTGATTCTTGGGAAGGCCAGGTGGTTCTGTTGCTCTGTAGCATGAGCCTTCTTTAGATACAACAGCTTAGGCAGATTCGGTACAGACAGAAGTGCGTGGGGTGTGGGATTTACACATGAAGATATCACCGGCTATGGAATGCACGTACGTACGAGAGAGGTAGGAGAGAAGTTTACTGTGTCACAAAAAGAGGTGCTTTTAGTTTTAGAGGGATAGCCCAATGTAAGTTGAGAGATGGGCGCGTTCGAAGTGCTCAGGTTCTCCAAACAATGCCTAAACTGCAAGCTGCATGATGAAGTTTCTGCATATTTGGAAGTGGGGAAGTGTGGCCGTTTCACGTCTGTAAATGTATTCCTCCTCCTCGTTTATTGCCAGCATTGTCAACGAATGCCTCATTTTTAGTGTTGTTGGCCAATACTTCCAGCTGTGAAGACTTGGAAAGGCGTTCGTCCCCTGGTAATTTGTATTTGGGGGACTTCTGCAAATCTTATATATATATATATATATAGTAGTGGTATATATATGTTGCTTCCCTTTTACGGCTTCACCTCGCATGCTAGAAGAAACGACGGTTCCGCCCCACCCCAAGTTTGTGGCAACTAGCTAGTAGCAGGCGCTTGTGTTGTTTGACGAACACATTTGACGTTGGAGCATCATTCACATGAATAACCTAACCTACTCCCGGGCTTCTTCTACGAGCAGTCCAGGCACCGCACCACTTTCTTCTACAACGACAACAACAAAGCAGTGAAAGGCAATGGATTGGTCTTCTAATCGAATTCATTTCAATAGAATTGGGCAATAGTGATGTGTCAACCACCTAGTTAGTTTTCAACCATAACCTACACAGGGAGTGCAGATGAACCACCGGCACCCCAAAAACCAAAACCAAAAAAAAAAAAGAAGAAGAAGAGGGACGATCGATAATACTGAGATATCCCACAATCCGCAGTCTTCCAATCTACCGTCTATGCTATCCCAAATTTAATTATTAAGGAACAAAAAAAAAAAAAAAAGAGCAAGCCCAGATGATGGCTGAATAGTCCACTATAAAGTCAGTTTTGCATACATTATAATAGTGTATAGTTTGTGCTTAAAAAAAACTTTAATACTCCTCTGTTCTACTTTGATAATCCTATTTTCCTTTTTCGTCTGTCCCAAATTATAATCCAGTTTCCAATTGAAAAATGTAGTTGTATTTTAATTTTTTTAAAATACCCTTATTCAATGTGAGTGGTTGTTACTATAAACCTATTCCATTTAATGAGAATTTATTCTTTTTTTACCATCAATTCAAGTTTTCATAAAATTATACTCTAATTAATATAAGGGTGTTTTAGGAAAATAGCTACCTAAATTGATTGTTACAACAAAATTAACTACTTTGTTTTAAACTGTGTGAAAAAATAATCAGAACTATCAAAATGGGACGAAGGAGTAATCCATGTATATATATATATACACACACACATATATAGATATATCTATGTATAGAGAGACACACACACTGACACACAGAGAGGAGGAGCCGAAACTAATCTGAAATGTCAGTAATGGAAGAATGCAGGCAAATAAATTAGATGAGCGTGGTGATAACTATCGTTTCGACAAATCAACAAAAAAAAAAAAAAAAAAAAAGGAATTAGAGGAGTGTTGTGTGGGTGGTAACGCAAATGGGCACGTGGGATTGGAGGGCAAAAGGTATGGGCCCCTTCCCCAATTCATTTCTTCGGAACGGAACAACTTCTACGCAACGTCGACAGGCAGGGCGGAGGACCACCACCCCCAAACTGCCCCCCTTTTTTTTATCATCAAACACGGATTGTCATGTGATGTCGTCTGTATGCAACCCAACAACGATTCATTTATTTAAACCAATTATTTGCCGTTACTCAAAAAAAAAAAAACAAATATATACTCTGCGTCTGCAGTCTGCACTACTGCCATACTACTGCTGCTGCATAATACTTGCTACTTATGAATCAATTAAGTATAAAATTTAAACCAAAATAAAGAGAAAAGAAATTGAAGGTATCGCCACCTATGCCCACACCACGAGAACGTCAAAGTAGACCAAAAAACTCACAACGTCACAAGCCATCCGCCGCTGCCACCAAAGCACACCGACACCCCCCGATGGGTACCCGCATCCACATCCATATCCACCATCCAATCCACCACGTCCACATATCCAAAATCCTTTCTTACCCGAAAGCCAAAAAAAAAAGAAAAAAGAAAAAAGAAAACCTCTCTCCTAATAACTCGCAATCCAGATTCTTCCAACGCACACTTACTTCACCATAACCGCCGGCGGGCACCCAATGCTTTGCCAGCCGTTGCTATTGCCGTTGCCCCCACCAGACCGCCCCAAGGCGCAGACTATCAGCTGCATCAAAATCCCTGCAGCAAATGGTAGTAGGAATACCGAATAATTCGTACACCGGTGCCGCCTCCCTCCATCGCAACAACAAAAGTTAAACTCTCACAGAAAAAAAAAAAAAGAACAAAGGATCAATATCCACAGAGGATTGATCACTCAACTCACGCCACAATTTGTAACGAAAAATTCAAATTGAAGATCAGCAGCCGATAGCTGCAAATACACATAAATATTTATTATTGTTCCCTGAAGATAAACCAGAGTGAAGGGTAGTTATGACAAGTGCAAAGTAAAAGCAATCCGATCAAATCCCAACTAAAAAGATTTTCCGGTGAGTTACAGAGCTATGCATAATATATAATACTCCTACATCTGTTTAGTACATATCAACACCATTAAATTGTCGCCATTCAACGCAAAAACCAATTCCAATTCGCCACCAGGTTGATTCTTTAGCGTACAAAAACTAAAAACATGAATTGAACCGAATATCCCTTTCCCTCCAATATTTTATTTTTATTTTTTTCACAAGGACAAAACTACCAGATGGAACTGGACGCCTCCCTTCAACGTATAATAATAGTCATCATCATACTAATACTGCGAGTTAATTATTATTTTTTTTAAAAAAAAAAAAAAGAGAAGAGGAATAAAATCAAACCAAAACCCAAAAAGAAAAAAAATATATGTAGGAGACGATAGTATAAAATAAAGATTGGAAAAAAAAATATAAGTGGAAAAAAACAGTTGAATCGAGGAATTTACCGGCGAGTACAAAAAGAAAACCAAAAAAATCTAAAAATATGGGGTTGGAATTCACGACGAATTTCCGAAGAGGTCGTACGGGGCCCACAGGGAGTCGAGCGGGCACGGCCGCTTGGAGTCGAGGCGCAGCCACGGCTTCCCGCTGCCGCTCCAGTGGAGAAGGCTGACAGGACCCGGATGGAGGTCCCGGCAGCTTCCCCTGACATTATCCCCGCCCAAGCCGTGCTGGTTCCACCTGTGCTCTATGGGCGCCACGTGTCCAGCAAACACCAGCAAGAATGGCGGCAGTGAACCCAGCTCGTAGATCCGATTCATCTTCTGGATCTCCATCCACCTCTCTATTTGTTTGGTGTACCCGAACCGCCTCCACTTGACCAGATCCATCACCATGACCCCCGTGTTGAAGTAACAGGGATTCCGGCGGGAGAACGTGTCCGAAAATCTCCTGTCCGACCAGAAAGCTGCGGTGAAGTACTTGTTGAAGTTGGCGTGGCAGTACTCCGGGGCTCCGATGGTCTTCGTCCCCAAGCTGGTGTACCAGAGCTTGGAAACATCATCGACCACGATGAGATCAGAGTCCAGGTAGATGACCCGCCGCACGCACGGCTCCAGAAGTTCTGCCAAATAGTTCCTGGCGTAGTTCAGAGGCTGCTCCAGGGCTTGCCGGACGGAGGTGGAGATCAGGCTCCGCACCCTCTGGGGATCGAAGTAATAAACCTTGAAATTCAACTGAGGGAAAGTGGAGCGGACTAGGCTTTCAAGGCCGGGCTCCGACACCAAGAAGTGGAAGAATATAGTCTGGGGACACATGGAGTGCTGCAAAATGGAATGCACGGCCGCAATTGATCCCCGGAGGTACTCGACGTCCAGGGTAATGGCTACGTGGACTAAAGAGGGATCGCAGACGCCAATCTCCCCCAATGTAGAATCAACATTGAAGGTGCAGGCGTCCGCATTGCGGTATTGAGGGGCTTTCCGGAAGGAGAAACGATCGGGAGAGGGAGGCGGAATCTGGGTGGTGGATAATCGGAGGTAGGAGTCGAGATGGGAGGATCTAATGGCTTCTGCGGGTTGGGAAGATTGCAGGGAGGGGGATAGAACTATCCACACCATGGCCGCGGAGAAAAAACCCGAGAATCTCATAATCCACAGCATCTTTAACCGGTTTCTTTTCTTTTTCTTGGATTTGAAACCCAAACGATCCAATAATCGAGAATACAGGGAAGAAAAGAGGAACGCTTCGGTTCCTCTTATGTCCGCCAGAGTTAACGATAGACGAAGATAAAGGGGGAAAAGAAAATTTTTCCTCTGTTCTCACCGACAGCACAATAATTTCTTTCTTTCTTTTTTTTTTTTTTTGTTGGAGGGGGAGTGGTGGTGGTTTAGGATAAGGTGATTTGGTTTACTTACGGCAGTTGTTAGTTCTCCCTCTCTTATTTCTCTCTCAGAGTAACGTCAACGGGATTCAGTCGGCAGGAGGAGGATACCGTAGAACGCTCCGCCAGTCCAACGGAGAGAAATAGGCGAGAGGAACCCATAAACGAACACAACCAACGCCACCTAGGGCTGCCTGGCTGGCACTGAATTGCGCCGACGTGCTCTGCAGTTGTCTTCCCCCCTCTGCCACACTACTTGTAGTTGTCTCCCGTTGTGGCTTCTCTCTGCAGAACTGGGGTTCTAGGGGAGCTTCATTTTCTTTTCTTTTCCTTTTTTTTTTAATTGTTTTGGGTTTTCCCTCTTCTTTGGTAGGGAGAAGGGTGGAAAGCAAAGCACAAACTCACACGGGCAATCGAGGAACAATGCTGCTCCTAATAGAAGCCTAATTGGAGCCAGCGAGCGAGAGCGAGAGGGAGAGGTTTCTGTTGCAGTTGCTGTTTTTGAGTTTTTTCCTTTCCAATTTCATTTTGTCCACTTTATCTATCTTTTTTTCAAAACTTTTTTTTTTTTTTTTGTTTGGCCTTTGCCACCGTACGAATCCACGACCCATCCGAAGGATTAGTAAGGATGAGATAACATAAATTTTGAAAAAGAAAAAATTCCACAACTCTCGATTCAGGCGAGTTATTTTCTCAAACTTTCCGTTTTTTTTTTTTTTTTTGCTTGCGCACGTTTTTCCATTAGGGAAAAAAAGATTAATGGCATTAAACCCCTTAACGTTGGTTGATTTGTTCTTTACTCCCTCTTGTTATTTTTTTAAGCGCTTAGCCCCTCCATCAATCAAAATCAAGTCTCACAATTAAATCACATCTAAACTTTTAAAATTGTCCTCACTTTCAACTTAACAAACATTAATTTTCATTTTATTCTTATGACTTATGATCCTAATTTGGCTTTTCGCTCTCATAAATTTTGTAGGCAAATTCTCCCTACTATTTTAAGGTTACCTTTATTTTTATTATTTTGCTTTCCTTTTTCTATTTTCTCTTCTTATTTTCTTTTTATTTTTACCTTTTTTCATTATGTCTTGCCACTTCTAACCTATTACATCACTGTAGAATAATTGATTAATTTAATAACATTAAAAATTTTATTTTTGTGTTTAAATATTTTAATTTTTAAATTATATATGGTTTGTAACACAACAAACTAACTACAACCCATGCCGAAACTAACATCAGTAATTGCGATTAATTGTTTGTATTTTCCTTCTTCTCTTTGTACCCTTTTTTTTTGGGCTTCTTGTTTCTGGTTTGTTTGGATAGTTATCTTATCCCAAATATTATTATTTCGCTTGCATCATAAACACATTTTTCAATCCATCTTTTTATTTGACATACATCATATCACAAAAAAAAATGCAATGTAGCAAAGCAGCAGGTTGGAGATTGCCGATGACGGCATGATGCCTTGAGGATGTTAGAACAACAGATTCATGCATTTCAAGGCAAAAGAAGTTTCTCAATTGTTTTACGAGGTCTATCACACACATCACCTCATTTTCACGCTACACGTTAGATTACAAACGAATCAAGCCACCTGCGAGCACATGTAAGTTTGCTCGATAAAAATTCAATTTCACCTCGATATTAATCGACCTCGAGTCAACCAAGTTGAGGTCAAGTTCGAATTTGAGTATAAGGAAACTCAACTCATTAACTCATGTGCCACTCTTTTTTATTTTAATAGTGAGATTATATATATATATATATATATATATATATATATATAATATTTTACTATTTGTTAAGAAAAATTTACTATTTTATTCATTTTTTTATTTTTAAATTTGAGTAATCTCGAATTCAAGCTTGACTTAATTTGAATTTGAGTTCGAATTCGAAATCAAACTCAAACTTTGTATCCGAGAGTTGGTCGAGTTCAAGTTTGATGCAATCGAGTCAAGACTCAACTTGATTCGATCAAAACTTCATTCGATTCAACTCATTTGCAACTCTGTTCGACATCTTTACGGTTGGAGTATTTTATGTTGGCAGCCCGCGCCTCGGTCTCACATCATCTTCCTGTTTGATGGCTAGTTTTATGTTTAGGTTAATTACATTAACTTTTTTTTTCAATTTCTTGTTTCTGACAATAACCTTTCTTCTTTTGATGTTTGAGCGTTTGTTTTACCAGGACAAGCTCATGAAGTCATTTGTTGTTGTCTTAATACATTTTTCTCGAGAAAAAAAAAAGGAGGGCAATGAGAAAAAAAAATACTAAAGGTAAACCATATCATATGTTGCTGGTTACAAATGCTTATCCGTACGAATAAGTACGGGTCCAGTTTGGCCAAGCCCAAACAAATAGAGCCAGCCACCTCGAAGATTTCACTCTGCTCTGATAAGTTGAATGTTTTGTGTCAAGCATAATCAGGATCTATCCCTTTCTTTTTTAACCGCATTTCCCTTTACTAGCTGCAGTACCCTCTCCATCTTGCCCTATTTAGGTTCAAAGAAAAAAGAAAAGAAAAATCATCCTACACTTAAATTCTTGCCCCTTGCAAAGCCAGATCAATCTGTTAAGACTCCTAAACCCATCAACACGCCACAACTCCACCAAGCTTCATTCATATCCTCCAAGAACAAGTTTTTATATTCAAAGTTGATTGTTATTTCCGAATATGGAAACGTTTAGCACTTGAAAGTATGCCTTACCTTCGAAAACAATGAATACCATTTGATATCATGTATAGAAGGATAGTGTGGAGGCCAATTGTGAATTTGTCCACCTCGACAACCCCTCACCTCGGCAACCGTTTTGGGGAGCAGGGGAGCCTGGATTCCCTGGTGGTCAAGAGGGTAATGGGTACCAGGACTTCAACCTAACACACCTTAAAGGTTGCGGGTTCGAATCCTGGGGAGACCTCTCTCGGTACCATCCCAACACCCTCTTGACCACCAGGGAATCCAGGCTCCCCTGCTCCCCAAGACGGTTGCCGAGGTGAGGGGTTGTCGAGGTGGACAAATTCTCAATTGGCCTCCACAGATAGGTAATAAATGTTTCAGTACCATCCAAAAATATAAATCAGTTGGATTTAGATTCATTCAAATTAGTAATGCAAACTCGTTGTTCAATCTCGTCTGTGCTTGTAAATCGCTCGATCTTCTTCTCAAAACTACAGGTTCCATTTTTGGGTGGGATACTTGAAGGGCAATTAGGATCCCTTCCATCTAACTTTCATGCCCGTTGTTTTCCAAATTGATATTGTCTGAGTATTTAAAGAGAAACGACCAACTTACCACTTCATTTTATGCGAAAATCCGTTTTGCTTCTATGGGGATAAGGGATCAAACTCATCAATAATGGGGAGATTAAAAATGCACTCAGCCCTTGTTCCTTTAATCCTTCCTATCGACTAAAACTAAAAGCCGAAAGAAAGGAAAGTAAAAGAAGTGCAGGAAGAAATTGTAGGAGGTGCTGCGTTCGACATGGCCCTGAAAATCTATTGATGCCAGCTGTCCTTGTTTGTCATTTTATGATGAGCTGCTATGATGACTGGTCTGGTCTCTGAAAAGAACCAATGAAGGGCCTTGGCCCTGCCTCCTGCCTGTTCCGCCCGATACAGATATACATGTATATATATATACACGCGCGCGCGCGCGCGCACACACACATACACCTACACCTGCATATGGCAGTAATGGTACTACTCTACAACTACAGCTGAGCTAGCATGCGCATGCTTGCTGAGTCGAGTACAGAGTAAGCGGAGGACAATTTCCCCCACAACCCAAAACCAAAGTCGATCCCCGTCCCGAAACATCAGAAACGGGCTTTTGTTGGTTTCTTGAACATTATTGACTCCTGATCCTGTAGGCTGTAAGCTGGCTGGCACTCATCACTATCTGCAACTATGAGGTAAAAGCAGGTATTAATTAGTAGTATATCGATGTTGTCATTTCATTTTTTTTTTCCTTTTTCTGAAGAATGCATCAGTGCCATTCAGCCATGATATGTGGGTCTATGTTTATCATTTTAGCTAATTCTTGATATTTTTAAGTTCCTCGGAAAATTTTTAAGTTTCTCTCCCAATCCCATCCTCCTCCTCCTAAATCTACGAACTTGGACTGGGAACAAAAGTATCTAGTGACTCGGTAACAATCTTACAAATGCTTACATGGAGTCGTGACAAGAGATTGTGCCAATTTCAAAGATGAATACAGTAATCCGTCGATCATTCTTGATTTTGACCAATTTCAGTCGTTTTAGAAGGCCTAATTACGTTTGCCTCACTTCATGTTTCGGTGTATTTTGGCTGTAAAAGTTTCACCCTGTATAATGGCATCTATGCTGCACGAATTCACATAGATTGGACCTATTTTTTTTTTTTGCTCCATCTTTACAAGGTAAAAGGAGACTTGAAAGTCAAATCAAGAAGCTCGCAATCACTTAGCTTATGTCCATATTAGTTAAGTTGGGTTTTAGGGACATTAACTAATGAGGTTTCAAGAGGTATGAAGAAGGGAATCAATTGCTATCAATTTTTAATTTTTTGAAAATTTTTTATCGTGTTCTTGATTACTAGCCGATGAACATTCCTAGCTACAGGTCACTGTGTCATCTCACAAGTAGAGGTGTCAAAATGGGTGACTTGGGCGGATTTGGGTTGGGTAAAATGGGTAATGGGTATAAGTGAGTCAACTCATTTATACCCATTTAATTAGATGGGTATAAATGGGTAAGTCAAAAAATAAATTGGGTAACCCAATTACCCATTTGTAACTCATTTATTTTAACTTTTTGCAAACTCATTTAAATTCATTTTTGCAAACTAAGTTATCAATTTATACCACTCTTTGTACCCATCATTAGTTTTAAATATTTACTTATAATGTTCAATAAACTTAATTACCAATTTTTTTCATTTATACTCTATGTCACAAAATTAGCTATTATTTAATAATTGAATAATACGAATATAAAAATTTGAATTAAGTACTATAAAAATTAATATAAAAACTTAATCCAAAAATTTTGAACCCCTAACATTTTTTTCATACATAAATTTAAAATTTCATTTTATAAAGATAAGAAAATAGGCTAAAATTTATCATAAATTGGTAATGCTAAAAAATGAGCAACTTAACAAACTAAGAAAAAATAAAATAATAAGATAAAACCAACAAATAATAATAATAATAATAATAATAATAATAATAATAATGTTAACATCATGACAAAATGAAAAATTTGAAAAAAAAAAAGGTAGGGGAAAAGAAGAGACTTGGGGGGAAGCGAATTTTAAATGGGTTAATTGGGTTTGATGGGTTACCCAATAAATGGGTATTATTGGATAACCCATTTATACCCATATACAAAAATTTAAGATACCCATACCCATCTATTCATGGACGGATATAGGTAAATCTAGTTAAATGGGTTGATTTGCCACCTCTACTCACAAGCAAGGAGAAATGTAGCGGCGGCAATGTGATTTACCTAAAATTCATGAGAAAAGGGTACAATAGTAACTTAGCCTTTAAAAAAAAAAAGTTCAATTTAGCCTTTGGCAGTGGATTTTA